CCAGGTGTGTTTACTTGGGAGTTGGGTGTTGGGCCCCCTAAAAAAGGCTACAACATTAAAACCTCACACAACAGGGCCCTGTCTTAGTTTAGCCTGGACTTCTAAACCTAATATAGAATAAAAGTCCTATAAGAGGAAATATAAAGAAATGTGTACCCGAAAACAGACTTGATCCTGGGAGAACGAAGCCAAGTGAATGCGTGTTAGCAGGTAAGTTACCACTCTAGTCTCTGGGGCTAGAGACTGAGGGAGCCTGTGTAGAAAGAGCCTCAGGGCTGGCCCTGCAAGGAAGACAGGTGCCAGTAAGTCTGACATGCTGATGCTTCAGTCCCCCTTGGAGCTTGGAAGCCTGTCCCTGGATTTGAGGTTGGGAGCTTCATTCTCTGGTCCTTCCAGCATTCCCAAAACACAGCGTACAATAAGAATGGGGATTAACACTTGGAAAAAGGCAAAGGGCCTGGATTATACCTTCTGGATTTTAGAAATTGTGTTGAAGAGGTATGGCCCTTATAGACTCTTGGCCCATTGAAAAGGTATGGCCCTTATAGACTCTTGAGTTTGGAAGGCTTGGCCCATAGGGAATGGCACTATTGAAAGGTGTAGTATTGTTGGAACGAGTGTGTCACTGTGGAGTTGGGCTTTGAGGTCGCATATACTCAAGCTACACCCAGTGTGGTACCTCTCACCACGACGATAGAGGACTAAATCTCTGAAACTATAAGCCAGCCCCAATTAGATGTTTTCCTTTATAAGAGTTGCCGTGGTCACAGTGTCTCTTCACAGCAATAGAAACCCTCACTAAGACAGAAATCAAGGCTGTGTAAGCAAAAGGATCATGGATTCAACACTGCCCAGGGTGTGCTTGCTGCCTAGAAATTAGACTAACAAGAAGCTGAAAAAAATAAAGATAACAACAACAAAAACAACAACAGGAACTCTGGCTAAGATAGGTGACTCTGAGCTGTCCATCAGAACTGCGGTGAAATTCGGAGCTAAAGAATGGACGGGATAGCAAATGGAAGACATGGGCTATGACCAACACCAGTGCTCACTCCGCCAGGCCAGCTGACCTCTCCTCTCTCTGAGCACTTCCTTCTTAGAGACCTCTCGAGGCAGAGGCTTGTTCTGCATGTGTATAGAAGCTCTGTCCTTGAAAGCAGACTGCAAACTCTCAGGGGCAGGCAGTTCTGAAGCTTTGTTTTAAGCATTTGACACAAATCTTTCTGTATAGCTCTGTGTGTGTGTGTGTGTGTGTGTGTGTGTGTGTGTGTGTGTGTGTTTAGCTTTAGGAAAAACTCAAAACATTCTTGCATGATCTTCTTTCCTTGTCTGCACCCCCACCTCATCTATCAATCATTTGTGTATCTTTGTATCTATCTGCCATATGTATATCCATCCATCCCAGGTCTTAAATCTGTCATGCACATCTCAGAAATAACAAGAATGTCATCTCTCCTTTCTCCAAGTTAATCCCACCAGTTTGAGATGCAATCGACTCCCCTGGTCTCTCAGGAATTCTCCCCTTATCAGCATTCCTTTCTGTCAAGGTATCTGTAGACCAGATATTTGGGCCAGGTAGTATCCTACCACTTGGGCCATTCTCCATTTTTGCTGTTTGGAGCCACAGTATACCCAAGAGGAGCCTTGGGACCCAGGGTAGCATCTGGGGTTGAGCATTCAGTTCTAACTCAAGCGGGGCAGCCAAGAGGCCCGCCTCCAGTCTGACTTGGCAAGGGACACCATTTTTGCATGATCAATTGTGTAACATTAACCTGGGAAATGGGACATCTGCTCTTTCCTTCTCCTCAGCCATGACAGGCTGAGGACAAACAGGAGGGGTTTGCCCGTCTGGAATGAAGCGTAGCAATGTCCTAGTCATGCGCGACACAGGCTTCGTCTGCAGCTTCTCCCTCCAATTCCAAGAGTTGTTTCCCAGAGCCTTCAGAAAACAAATTGCTTCTTGTCAAAATAATCTGGATTATTTCACAATAAGGAACATTTTTGGTGGCCTCCACAAACACTCATAAATAAAGTGGCTTAAAGAGGCAGAACTAGACCCAGACTATACGTTTTTTTCTACCAGTTTTTCTACCTCATCAAATGTTTTTAAGGACGATGTTGAGTATTAAGGACCAGACAGACATTGTTTTAAACCAATTGTTTTGAGAAAGTCACTTTTTTGCCCTATGCTATTTTATCTCCCAATAAAATTCTTTATTCTTCTTGCCACATGCTGATGAGTTTGAAATGTGTCCTTAAATATGAATATATATGTGTAAAATATGTAGTGTCAGCTCTCAGGTGTGTTCCAGATCTTTGTGGAAATTACCTTTTACTTTTGTTAACAACATTGGGATTTTGGTGTGGTAGGAAGGGCTATTATTTGCTTGGTTTAACCATATTGGTTTTTTTTTTTCATTTAAAATAATTACAATATATATGGCTACATGGCACTTATATGATATATTTCTGGTAACCTATCCCTCTCTGCTCTCATAAAGTTTATATGAGAAGTCATATAAACTAGACTTACATAAATCACTTTCTTCTTTGTCGCTTTATTTCTGCGCATTCATTTTCTCTAGCTTGTCTTTATATACAATACTCACACAACATATATATATATATATATATATATATATACCTTTGTGGTTTTTCTTTTAACTCAACTTTATTGGTTTTGTTCAGCTTTGCCTGTGTGGATGATGAAGCTACGGTTGATTCATCTTCGTAGTTGGAGGGCGTGTTGCTGCAGACTAGTCTGTATTTGACTTATCCATCTACCATGTGTGCATATTTGCATCTGCTGCTGTTGCTGGTATTCCAAACTGCTCGGTGATGAGTACCGTGGCCCTGCTTCCACGAGTCACAAGACAGATCCTCTGAGGAAACGCTGAAAACTCTGAGTGCCTGAGTCATATGCACTTTTGCTCTAAGCCATGCCAAACCACTCTTCAAGGCTGATATGTTCATTCATACTCTCCCAATGGCTCTGGGAATTTCCTTTGCCACATCCTTGGTAACACTAACACCATCGGAGTTTTGATTGTTGTTAATCTAGTGGTCATGAGAAAGTGCTCTTCGGGATTTCAGTGTCAGGAAATTAACTCGACTGCCAAAAGCTTGAGTCACCTTTCCATACAAGACATTCACGTCTTTTCTCGTGGAAAAAAAAAATTGCTTGCATTTTTGATCATTTGCCCTTCCAAGATTTGGCTTCTTAATGTTCCCTCCTGGAAGGAGTTGGGCGGGGTCAGATCATTGGAGAGTCCAGTTACTCTTGTCCTCCTATGGATCCCCTGACAGCTGCAGGTTCCAGAACTCGGGAGGTATGGGTGGGAGGAACAGAAGCTGAAGGCCATCCTCAGTTAATATATAATAATATAAGAGTAAGATAAAGCCAGTTCATATATGCATTAGTCATTAAGATAAAGTCAGGCATGGTGGTTCATTTCTATTCTCCAAGCACTTTGGAGGCTGGGGTAGGAGGGTTGCCCCAAGTTAGAGGTCAGATTGGGCTATATAGTGAGCTCCAGGTTAGGCTGGGCTAGAATAAGACTCTTCTCTGCCTCCCCCCACCATATAAAGCAGATAAAGGAATATCTAATGGCACTATTTGTGTGATTTGTCTTCTCTGGAACTTAGTTTGTGAAACAGTCTATCTTGGGGGTTTCATGACAAACGCATGTGTTGAATGCGTGAGAGTCTATAAAAGTATTGCCCACATGATTGGCCTTTGGCAAGTAATGGCTCAACGACCGGTGTACAGTGTAGGTTCTCTGTTTCAAAGCTGTTAAATTTTTACAAGTTATTTCATTTAACCTTCTGTTTGTGACAGTCACATCCTGAACATTGTGTTGACTGTTTTATTGTTTGCCATAGCCCTATAAAGTCATGGCATTAACACTGTCCAAATAAAGTAATTCGAGGCTGAGAAGAATTAATGATTAGCCATTGGGCACACAGCTGCTAACTGCCTGTCTATGTGTTCCACGTTCTCCTTTCTGGGAAATGGTTTATGGGAAGATGGGTATCCTTGGTGTCCAGGGAACGGCATGAGCCCATTGGGTAATCACTCATAACTATTGGCATGTGACATATATCTGGGGGTGTGGCAGAAGGAAGAAGTTGCAGGCGAGTTTCATTTTAAGAACATGAGATGATTTGCCCTGGTCTGCAACCCCACTTCCCCAAACCTGACCCAGAATTTCTTAAAAGCAACCACTCACCTCTGCAACTGCCTGAGCCAAAAGCCCTCCTGGTTTCCATCCTTAAAAGGATGCCCACAGTTTAATCAACCACACTGTTTCCCTCAGAGGAATTCCACATCAAGTGGGACATTGCCCCAGCCGGTTATAACTGGACTCCAGTGATTATCTTCCTGTCAGAACCTTGAGTTACCTAGGTTACATGTGTCAACAGAGTTTAAAGCTCTGTTTATTTGCCTCCCCAGACAGAGGTAGAAAAAGGGTCTCCCACAGCCAGTCAGCTGCCCAGACAGCCATGCTACTCAGTAACCACTTGCTAAAGCTAACACTCCTTTGGCATGTGGTTCCTACCAGATGAATTACAGCCCCGTGCACACTGGGTTCATTCAGAGCACTGATGTTAGATCAGGAGGGATACCTCCCATACTACAGCGGGAAGAGAACAGAGTCCAAAGCTGGGGTATTGGGGTGTAAATCCCTTAACTGCATCACACTGGGTGCAATTATATTGTTGGGTCTCCTTCACCTACAAAACAGAGTCTTTAAACAATACCATTCTTCCTATGCTTAAGAATTTAGTGAGAAATTAGCAACATACAATTCTCCTTCAACACAAATACAAAACTGTGTATGAAAGAGAAGGAAATAAAATGCAAACAGTCTCTAATAAATCAAAGATTTTAGGTGTTGATTTTGAATAATCCTTTTCTTTAAAATACAGGGCCTAGGACTGAGAGTATAGTTCCGTGGTAGGGCATACACTCAGCACGCAGGGGATGCTAGGTTCACTTGGACATTTCTTTTATTTGTACACAAATGAATATTATGAGTACACGAGGCTCGCAGCAGCCACTAAGGGAGAAAGGAAATGGGAGAAGAAAGGAGGTTCTCATACAAAGCAATAGTCTACACTATGCAGGCCTATGGAAGATCTTGCTGGTCACTAACAGTTCTTTTCCCACGTAAATGTCTACCTAGCCTTAGGGAAGCTCTGTCAATATAATATTCCAAGAAGTCACCAATAATTATTTCTCTAAAAATTTAATTTTGTTAAAAAAAAAAAACAGTGGATTTAAGATCATACTCCGTATTAAATCCCTATTTAAAAGAAAATAAAGTCTCAGCTCTCTTTTGCAGTTGAAGTTAAAATCTCAAACACGAGCCACTAACTGCAGTTGGCTAGGAGGTCCCTTTGATAACCAAGCCTGTAATTACTCATTTGGCTTCATTCAGCCAGAGCCCTGGCTAAAACGGCAAGAGGGTTCCATTCACAAGTAGGGCTGCTGGCATTGCTTATCAATGGGGTGCCTTAGTTCTGGCATCTTGTAGAAGACAACACTGACTTCCTTTCAGTGGCACCATAGGGTATCATTTCATGTGGGCTAGGACTTGGGAGGCTGACCTTCAGAAGTCACAGCGCTCTGCTTACACCGTGTGCACCGGGAAGAATGAGTGGCTGGGATGCCCTGGTTTGAGAGCAAACAAAAATATTCCATCTCTGGACAGGAGGAACAGCAAGGGCTCATGGTAAATGGGGAGTGCACATGGGTATGGAAGCAACTTGGGACCATGAAAGGATCTATTCGTGGTTCTTACTACAATTTACTGATATTCCTTTGACATGCAAAATGTGTCTCTTCCAAATTAACATGAGCAAACTCACACAGCAAGGGTTTTGATAACCATGACGTGTAACAGAATACTCTAAACCTTAGCCAGCTGAGACAGTGGTAAATCTTTCTCATCTCACACAGTTCTGTGAGCCACAAGGCAGGGAGTCAGTTACCTGCCTTTGTCTTAGTGTCTCTGGTGATGTCAGACAGAATACAAAAAGGGTGCTCACCTGCAGATTTGAATGGTGCTGGATGACCTCTATTCAAAATGGCTTACTTGATCATCTGGCTGCGGACAACAGGCTATGGCCCTCATTTCACACACCTCCCCATAAAGCTGTGCAAGTGTTGTTTTGGTGCAGATGCTGAATTTCCCCAGAATAGGGATGCATGAAGCAAAAAAAAAAAAAAAAAAAAAACCCAAGCACTTCTTTGTGACTTACTTTAGCCCAAAGATGATATATGTGGCTATATTCTAATATCTCATGGATTACCCAGATCAGATATATGATTGAAAAGAACTATTGCAGGTCCTGGGGAACCCATTTGATGACTGATACCATAGAATTTAAAGTACCAGGTTCAAAGTCCAGAGGTGAATGGGCTGCTTTGGATCTGAATGTGCATGAAGTTCAGTGTGAGGTTTTCAGGAGAGAAACACTTGAGCAGCAACTTATTTTTTTAATTTTTAATTGTTTTTATTGAGCTATTCATTTTTCTCCACCCCCCTCCCTTCCTTCCTTCCTTCCTTCCTTCCTTCCTTCCTTCCTTCCTTCCTTCCTTCTCCCCTTCTCCCCTCTCCCATGATCCCTATGCTCCCAATTTACTCAGGAGATTTTGTCTTTTTCACCTTGCTATGTAGATCCATGTATGTCTGTCTCTCTTAGGGTCCTCTTTGTTGTCTAGGTTCTCTAGGGTGTGACCTGTAGGCTGGTTTTTCTTTGCTTTATGTCTAAAAGCCACTTACGAGTGAAAACAGATTATATTTGTATTTCTGGCTCTGAGTTACCTCACTCAGTATGGTTTTTTTCTAGATCCATCCATTTGCCTGCAAATTTCAAGATGTCATTTCTTTTATCTCTGTGTAGTACTTCATTGTGTAAATTACCATATTTTCTTTACACAGTCTTCAGTTGAGGGGCATCTAGGTTGTTTCCAGCCTCTTGCTATTCCAAATAATGCTACTATAAACATAGTTGAGCATATGACCTTGTGGTATGATTGAGCATCTTTTGGGTATATACCCAACAGCCATATTGCTGGGTCTTGAGGTAGAGTGTTTCCTAATTTTGAACAGCAACTTTTAAGCTCCATTCAACATTCAGATAGAGAAAGTTTATCTACAAAATACTATCCCACACATAGAGAAAAACTAGGAAACATGGGTCTCAGACTGAGAGCAATATTGAAATCCAAACAATCACTCATCAGAATTCCAATCCCAAGGGCAAGAAACAGTCCTTGATTGCAGGCCAGTTCTTTTCCTCTTGAGAGGCCTCTGTGTTCTCTTAACTCTTCACTCAGCCCTCTGAGCTCCGTGTCCAGCTTCCGTTTCCAAAGGAAGTAGCTTCTCAGGTGTATGCGAAGATTTCTCCAAAAGCAGTGTTTCCTCAGGAAACACTGTCGAGAACTGACAAATGGGATTATGGGAAACTCAAAAGCTGCTACACAGCAGAGGAAATGATCATAGCCAGCCTTCCAGAATAGGAAAACGTCCTTGGCCAATCACACGCCAGGCGGGGTTATTAATATCCAGGCTATACAAAGAGCTGCAAAAATTAAACTCCAAAAATCCAAATCATCTTACAACTAATGAACTGAATAGACTATTCTCGAAAATAGAAAGGCAACAATAAATAAATCCTTGAAAAAGTATTTATCATCCTTTAATTGGCACCAAAAGCCAATTAAAAGTCCCTGGAGAGCTGAACTCTGCCCTGCCAGAAAGGCTATCACAAGGAAACAAATGACAGCAAACACTGCTGAGGATGTAGAGAAAGAGGAGCTCTTATTCCTTGCGGGGGGGGGGGGGGGGGGGGGGGGGGGGGGGGGGGGGGGGGGGGGGGGGGGGGGGGGGGGGGGGGGGGGGAGGGGTGATGCGAAGCTGTGTGGCCACTGTACAAGTCAGAATGGAGACTAATCAAAAAACTAAAACCAGAACTATCATATGACCTGGCCGTGCTACTCCTGGCTATATACTTGAAGGACTGACTCTATAGATGTACCCCACAATGCACCTGAACATCCGTGTTTGTTACTAACTATTCCCCATGATCAGGAAATAGGACCAACCAAACTATTAGTCAAAAGGTGAATGGATAATGAAAATGTGATACATATATACAACGGAATCTTATGCAGCCAAAAAGAAAAGTAAAATCATGACAATTGCGGGAAGATGGACTGGAATTAGAAATCACCGAGTTAAGTGAAATAAGCCAGACTTAGAAAGGCAAATGCTTCATCTTTTCTCTCATTATGTAGAACCTAGATTTAAATATATATGTATACATATTTGTACATATGTATTATTCTTAGACATGTATATATACATGTATGTGTGTGATTGTATATTTACATGTGTGTATATCTATATATGTATGTTTGTATGTTTTAGGCCATGATCCCACATAGGGACTCATGAGAGAGGAGGGGGAGATCTTAAGAGAGACAGGAAGTAAAGTAATGGCATCATGTGATTAGAAACCAGAATGGAGAAATAACTGGGGACGGAATGGATGAAGTGGGGAAGACTGAAGGGAAGGAAGGGCACGGGGAAGATAGCAGGAAGGGACAAATGACATCTACGCATGAAGGTGTCAGGAAACCCATTGCAGTTTCTCACAGCTTTATGTGGATGCTTCTTTCGGTGGTTTTTGGCAGGCTCATTCACATCCATGCATTCTGCCAGGAAACTGACTGACTGGAAGGTCTCAGATGGCCTTACTTGAATAGTCAGCATTTGGCACCAGCTGTCAGCTAAGAACAAGTTAATTTTTCTCAATTTGGGGAGATTGTGTCTCCAAGAGATACTTGGCAATGTGTAAATAGTTTTGATTGTCACAGCTTTGTGGAGGTTATTGCATCAATAATTAGAGGTCAGAGATGTTTATGAGCATGCTGTATTAGACAGATCAGTCTCCTTCATCAGTAAGATACCTAGCCTAAAATGCCAATAGTGTTAAGGAGGCCCAGGGACATGTAAGTTTACACGAAATATCTTCTTTAGTCTTTACAATAACCATCACAGATGACTGATGCTCTTGCTATCTGTGAGAGAGTGCCACTGTGAGGCAATACGTCACCAACAAGATGACACAGTGGTAAAGGGAGGAGTTGGGCCTGAGTGTGCACAGATACGGTCTTTTAACTAACACGATAGAGCTATACATTCTGCTCAGAATGCTCACCTTCCCAGATCTGACTTTCCAAATGCTAAAACCACACCCAGGGAACAGTCTAAAGTTTCCACTGTTTGTTCCCTTAGACAAATTCCCCCAAAACAAAGCCCAATCCAAGGATTCAGTGTAGATGCTTTGTGGAGGAGGTACAAGCCTGTGGCTGTAAAACTGTGCAGAAGGGAAATGATGCTGAGGACAACGGGAAGCAGTGCAAGGTGACTCGCTCCAGGAGAGACATCTGGCCAGATAGGTGAACCTTTCCAAATGGGCTGCTGTTGTGGACGGTGCTCTCTGAGTTAGACGGCTGGAAGAAAGGAGGAAGAAAGAACAGATCACGGGTTTCACTGTGCAGCACTTACCTTCCTGAGACTCACCTGCCCATACTCGAGAGTTCTAGAACCTCTTCCTGTAGCAGGGACTTTGGAAGCCATCCATCAGCTACAACTTGGTCTTCGTAGTCTAAGAGTATTGTGGCCTTGGCAGGAGATTCAAGAAAGCACTAAGCGGTGAGCTTCTTGGTCTTCTGCAGCCACCCAACTACGAAAGCTCTGAATTCATTGATACAACATAGTTAGTGGTTTTCCTCAAGAAAAATTGTCCTTCACATAAAGAATTTCTTGGATAACGGGTAAATACTAAAAACCAAAGCCCCTTTTTATGAGAAAGCTGAGGATCAGAGGAGAGACTGAAGCCAAGGTATAGTGGCACACACCTAAAATGCCACCGCTGGGAGTCTGCAGCATCACAGTGAGTATGGGACTACACAGTGAGTTCAAGGCAAGCCTGGGGGAGGGGGGGGGAGACAAGATGATCCCCTGTTCTGTCTCAAGACACTGGTGCCAATATCTGGGGAAAGCAAACCCCTCTCTGCTTCCGGAGTCATCTGTTCTCCAGCATCAATGGCCCCAGACTTTTCACATCTCACTCAGGTGAAGATAGTTCACATCAGCTGAAGAACTGATTGTCCAAACCCTTGTTAAAACAGCACTGCAAGTGGAGTTCCGGGAAACAAACGAGATGATTCTGATGCAAGCGTGCATCAGCAAGAACAGGACCGGGCTGTGCCCCGTCGGGTCAGTGCACTCCTAATAAGCTAGCGAGGGACCACATTTGCTAGTTGGCAGGCACTGAGCACCATTGCCTGACACCGTCCATTGAAGCTCTTCAGACTGTTTCACAAGCTGTTCCAAAGGCTTCTCTCCCCCATCCTGTCCTCCCCTTGATTGCTTGGACTCAACTCGCACACTTAACTTGATTTAATTTATTCTGAGATGACACAGTTCTCAGGGCTTACCGCATGCATTTCTGGGTATGCCACGTGCCCGCTGCTGACTGTAGAACACAAAGAGTAAATGCTGCTAGCTAGAGGGGTCGGGTGGCTAGAATGATGGGGGCAAACGAAAAGTGGTCAGGTAGAATCCAAGTCTGTGAGGCGGGAACGCTGGTGAACTGGGAATTCAGAAGACAGCTTTGCTTAGTTTGACCTAACTGCTGCCAGGCAAAAATGAAGCCCAGAGTTGAAAGGTCTCCTGGCTTAAAAACAAAAATAAGTTGAAAATCTGTGTATTTACTGGATATACTCCATCTTTTAAATGTTGGCCCCCAATTCACAAAATTCTAACACATACTATTAGCCAAAAACAAAGACATCTGCAGTCTGGGTTCAGCCCACAACGGGCTTCAAGTTTGCAAGCTTCCCCGGTGGGGATCGAGGACTTGCTCGGTGCTGGTTTTAATTGAGACAAAAATGTACAATGACTTGTGTTATCTTGGATTTAAAATCATAACATTTATTTTCAATACTCCCCTCCTAATCACAGGCTTGAGCCTTTTAAAGCCAAAAGAATCTTCAGGGTTATACTGTTTAGTCTTTTTGTTTTACAGACAAGGAATGCATGGTTCAGAAACAAGAAGTCGGTTGATTTTAAATAAATTTTTGAAAGAACAAATGTAAGGACTCAGGTTTTTTGGAAACGAAAGGAGCCACACTGGCCAACTAGCTCAGGGTTTCTCTACGAGCACTGCTGCTGTTTTAGAATAATTCTTGATTAGGGTGTGCATTTGTTATTTTTCTCATTGCTGTGACCAAACACCTAACAGGAAATCACTTGAGAGAGGAAAGGATTATTGGGCTCACAGTCTGAGGGATTCCAAGCCATCATGGCCAGGATGACGTGGAAGCAGGTGGGTTCATGGTGGCAGCAGCTGGCAGCGGGGTCTCCTCCTTCCCTTACGTTTCAGTGGGAAAGGACGCAGACAAGGGACAATGCTGGAGCTCGGCTGGCTTTGTCGTTTTCCCTTTCTGTAGTCTAAAATGCTAACCCCAGTTTGTGGGATGCTGCCGCCCACATGAAGGGGGCATTTCCTTTGCTTTGTTAACCCTCTGGAAAAGGCTCTGGCAGACAAGTCCTCCTGTGGGTCACCCTAGCGCCTAGTCAAACTGACAGTTAACTTTAACCACAACATGGTGGCTGTTGAACACACTGTGGGATGTTCAGCCACATCTCTGGTTTCTGTACCCTGCATTTCTATACTCAGTCCTGCAGTTATGAGTGCCCCGAAAGGACAAAATCACTAATGTCCTCAGAAACCAATGGTGCCCACTGGCTTTATCCAGTCCCTTCATGTGGTAGATGAGGAAAACTAGGCTCAAAAAATTGAAGAATATTTCCCTCAAGATCACTGAAGAACAGAACTATTGGCATGGGTCAGGCCAGGACTCAAGTCCCTTAACTCTTGGTACAGTGTTCTCTTTACCAAGCCTGAATGTCTTTCTTCTTATTATTTATTTTGTTTATATTCACTATTATTGTGTGTCTGTATGGTGTGTGTGTGTGTATATAATAGTGAAGGTGTGGGCTTGCATGTGGAGATCTGAGAACAAGTTGCAGGACTCAATTCTCAGCTTCTCCCATGCAAATTCTAGGGATCAAATCCAGCTGTTAGGCTCACGTAGCAAATAGTTTTACCCACTGAGCCATCTCCCCAGTCCTCAAGCCCAAAGAGTTTAAGCACAAGTCTTCAAATAAGTGAGCAGTCTAAAACTGCTTGGTTCATATGGAGTGACCGCATGGCTAAGGACAAGAGACACAGAGCCTAAGACTCAAAGGTTAGGGATCAGTTCTCAGCCCATCAACTTCCTTACTTTGTACACTCACCAAGTGAACCTTCCAGGCCTTTGTTTATCACTTTACACGAAAATTAGATTGTAAAACCTATATAGTCCTTACCACATGATAGTGAATTGCTATGCTGTTACTATTGTTGCTATTATAATTAGTGGTACCTGGGATCAGTAAACTATATCTCAAATATAATCTGGCTTGCTTATTTTTAAAGCCTATGGGCAGAGAATGAGTTTTATAAGTTCAAGTGGCCAAAACAGCACTACTCTTGTGGCACATGAAAATCTTGTACAATTCAAAGATCAGTGTCTATAAATAAAAATCATTAATTCTTTAACTAGACCCTTGGTCTCTATGAAGAAAAATAGTTAAAATTTGCACAGTGCCCTCTGGTGTACAGGAGGTAATATAGCAAATAAATTCTTGAGTTGTTTCTGATGCCACTTAAGTACCTGTAACCATTGTATTTAAGATATTTCCCAGGGTCTAGATACACTGAGGCTTTTCCAAAGAACATAGGCTCCTGAGTCATCCAAGGGACATGAAAACCTTTTACTTTTTATAGACATCCTTTCTTAAATAAATCTCATTGTAAAATTGGTTCTTAGAGGTGTTCTTTCAGAATCTGGGATATTTATCAAAAAGAAAGGAAATGGCTTGCTCTGTGTTCAGCCAACTGCATATTTTAAGCGCTCCACAGTTTGGACAGGACAATCAAGAGGGATATCCTGGAAAAGGAAAAACAGATAAGAATGAGCTGCTAAGATTAAAATTTAAGGGATGTTGTCATGGCACTTTTTAAAAAAAAAAATACCTTGAGCATCTTGGTTATAATTTAATCTGACTGTTGGCCGAAAGTTGAATGTCCTAATACCTGTTTACAACCTTCGCTCTACCAGCAGTTAGATGTAGGCTTTCTACGGTTAATTTTCAGTTCAATGCCATCCATTATAGTGATTTTCAAGCACACGCCCTGGGCATCAGAAGGACAAGGATAAACATTGTCTTTGCTATGAAATATTTCTAAGCAGTCCTGGTTCGGTCATTGAAGCTCTTGAATCAACTCCTTCTTTGAATATGAAAATCAGGCATTAGATTAAATACCCCATGTAGTTCAAGAAAGTTTTATTGAGGGCCTTTATCTACCCATTCTCTATTCTCATGAAATCCAAGTTACCCATACATATTAGCAGACCACCAAGAACTGACCTGGGCTCTGCCATTGTGGTCATTCCATTCTTAAAATGCACCTAACTCTCTGCCCTTTGAAGTCGCTCATGCGGTTAATGCTATGCAGACGTTAGAAGGAAACCCACCAAGTTTTCCTGAATAAGGAAGAACAGAATTCACAAGAGAAGCAACAGTGGGGCAAACTGAAAAGGATGAACTCATTGGTGACGAGGTAGGCTGAGGACGGCACAAAGACAGGAAAACACATCAGGAGTTACAGATGAAGACCAAGCCCAATAGAACTAGTGCTTTCCCCAGTGGATTCCTAATTCAAAACCCAGTCCAAAAGAAATGGACAATTCTCAGTAAAATATCAATAATCTGATGGGCAAGCAGGAGGTAGGAACGTCTGGACTCTAGTTTGGACACATGCAAACTGAAAAGATTCATTCAGAAGGAGGTGGCAGAAATGAGGCCCATGGTTTCCCAAGGGAAGGGGCAGAGGAGTACTCAGATGGAGCCAGACCAACAGCCAGCTGCTGTATTTTAGGAATTTACTCTCAATTATAATATTCGAATTATTTCAGTTCTCATACATTTATGTCAAAGGAACTTTGTGTGGCTTGTCAGTTCTGAGGGACTGGGGGCTCAGGCAGCAGAGGGACAGCTGTCAGTCACAGAGAGAGGGAGGATGAGGAGGCCGTGTGAGGGAACGTAGGGATGACGGCTGTGGAGAACCTGTAGCCCTCCAGCAATGCCACCTTCCCCTTCCTGTCCTCTCAGTTGCCATCTCTATTGACAATGAGAGCCCCATCCCCTCCCCTGAGAGTTTGGCAACAGAAGCAGGATCCATACCCATTGTTGAATGCTGTTTTGGTTAAAGCTAATTAAGTCCCAAACTGTCAGTTCTGCTGTGGGAGGAACAGGACTGAGTTAGACCTGACTTCCTCAGGAAGGATCCCTCAACATGCAGATGCTAGAGGAAGCAAAACTGTGGAGGCCTCTGCCCGATGCAATAACTATTTCTTCTGCATGTCTCCATCGTACACAACTTGGATCCCAAGGGCCCTCGGAAAGGCCTGTCCCACTGCGGCTGGTTTAAAGTACACCTGGCCTTTGCTAGTGGGCCCCCTGGCCACGTCTCAGGACCCTCTGGTTTCACTAAGTTTCCTGGCCCGCTGTGCCAAAGCTTCCCCTTCTCCCCGCTCTCCCACACCTAGCCTCCAACCCACTCCTAGCTGTGGTGTGCTTGG